TGTAAACATTATAAAGGATCCATAATACATTGCGTAACAGTCTTCGTCTAGGAATTTTAAGTAAGCGATTGTAAAGTGCATTCAAGATAAAAAAGGATTACTACTTAATCTATTTTAGGCCTACTTATCGGCATAAGTGAAGGCAGGATGATAGCAAACTATTTCAACATAAAAGATTATGGACAAAGGTTATGATGTAATTGTAGTGAGATTCACATTACCTATTAATTAGGCGTTTTTATTTAAATGAATTTTTCACTCACACGAAGTGGAAATATGAAGATCATCATGATTTTTTGAAACTGCTTTAACGCAAAGGCTACATCATTTGCACCAGGTAGGTATGTGAATTTAATCCTTTGCGACTAAGGCCCGTATTTTAAAAGAAGTCTCAAGTATCGGATAAACTTTGATTGCCTGAAACTAGTTTTAAGTGAGGATCAAAACTTAAGTATCGATCTTATTTTAGAACGCGTTTTAAGTTTTACTCAGTTGAAACTAGTTTCAAGTATTGATTTGAACTTACACTCTGTTCTTAATTACGTTTCCGCATGATTTACATTATTATTACGTAAGTGCAGCTAAATATTTAAAAAATAATTTTCTTTTACAAACATAATTTTTGTGAATTTGTATATAGTACTATTCACTAGTGTAGCAATGTTAACATATTTAAAAGCTTGGTGTTGTCCAAAATTAAATACAGTAAAAATTAAATATAAAAATAATAATAAACATCGGTGAATCTCGTTTTAAGTGACGTTTAAAATAAAATGTCTACGTAAAATTAGTTTTGAGGGTAGATTACGACTGAGACATCTTTTAAAATAAGGGCCTTAGTCCCTATTATATAAAGCTATGAGGTAGCATATCTGTGGTCTACCACAGATATGCTACCTCATAGCTTTAATTATAAACGTATAATTGAGTTCATAGTATAAATTGGAGCACACTTTTAACGAGAACAATTTTATGAGGTTTCAAAATAATTTTAGACTACATAGGATCCAACTATAAATCGACATCTTGGCCATATTTTCCCTTGAGTGTAAAGTGATGTTTTTGATATTTTATACAGTTCAGTAGAGTAACAGACTTTGCTACTGTACTAAATAGAAGAAGACTATAGCTATTCAAACCGCAAAATAAATCAGAAATTTTGTCTGCATTGTACATTTACGTTATCTCTGTTCACTTACATGGGGCTTATAATTACTTTTTCACCTGGATTTACATCCAGGTCAGCAAATGTATTAAATATTTAACTATGATTTGTAGGTGCGTAAGTGTGTGTGGGGCATCAAACCTCAAACTTTTTAAATTATAATTAAAACTAAATCTACATTTACTCTACTCTCCTGCGCAAGTGCACAATTACGTGTTTACGTGTTACTTAACACTGTTTGCATTTTTAGCGAGTTTACACAAGTTTAGTATGTAACAGAAATTTTAATAGTTTGTTTGTGCTCTGGTATTTTTCAGTCAAAGGAGGAAAACATGTATTTTACCTGTCTATATGTATTCGTATTATACCCATTAAGGTTATACCTAGAGATAATACCTATTACCGGGATAACACCTACCGGTTATACCTAGACACAACACTTTGTGTGATGTACAAATTGTTCTTCTGAGTCTGGGTGTTCTTTTTGTCCGTTTCACTAATGTTTGTCAAGTCTCTCGCGACACAGGATATTCCGAGTGTGGGAGTTGTCCTTTTTAACAAAAAGAATACGATGGCAATTTGAGGTAAAATATAGGAATGTCATTAAACATTTAATGGTTGTATTTGGTTCAATTTTGACACACCGCACTGCCAAAACCGATGAAATGACGGCCCATATGATATTATCATTCTAGCACAAATACCTGCCTACTTAAAAATGTGCACTCTATGTCAAACAGAACCTCGTTTTTAACTGGCGAAAATATGGAGAAGGTTCTCAAGTCAACCCATTTAGTGTATTTTTTTTTTATGGTAACTTATGCAGCAGTTTAACATTCTTTTGGCAAAAGTAGCAACTTCAGCATTTATCGTTTACTGTAACTTAACTGAATAAAAAGAGGTTTACTTTAGAATGTATAAATGAATGACTCAAGAACACTATTTAAGCATTAGGTACGTACATAAGTTAAAAAACGCTTTTTCACAAACGCACTGCTAAACTTGAAATACCAACGACGTCACCATACAATTAAGTAGTCTGATATAACAGCCTAAATTAAACAACATAGTCACAAGCACGACCGAGTACAGTATTAAAAACTGTATGACTCAGCGTTTATTACTTGACGCGGTCTTATAGTATACATTTTTATGAGATTCATTCAAATCTAATAGTTAGTTCAGATAAAGATATTACCGAAGTTACTTAAATATACGTTATATTGTAGTCTTACATAAATGTAGTTTGCTCAAGTGGCGTAATGGTTAAAGTGGTCATCACTCTACGACACAGTGCCGATCCGAGTCTTGGGGATGTTTTCGACTCCTACAAGGGGTACGTATTTGTAGATTACACAAAACTTGTGTAATCTACAAATACGTGGTTGAAATCGAGGTGTTCTTTGTCCATTATTTGATTTGTGTCTCTGTGACAAAGGTATCTATTTTAAAAGATTCTAATAGATGAATGACTTTATTGAATTATGTACTTAATATACTTTTCTTTTATGTTCAGTACATCAGTACGATGAAGTACTCAGTACATTTTCATATATATTATATTTTAGAAATATATTATTACGTTTATCAGCAGTCTGAGTAGAATTACCATATTACCATTACCATACCAGGCTATACGTAATTTGGGATCAGACAAAAGTGTGAGATGTATCAAGTAAATATCAATATTATTATTATTTAGGTAAATGTACCTAACATTTAATATGTGGTCGACGAAATAAAATCGCATATATATTAATAGTACATTCTTTATATGAAATAAGGGAATAGATCCTTACATTATTTCGTAACACCTCATATGTTTCCACAAGTTTTTTGTGCAGATAAGGAGATCACAAAAGAAAAATACCAGAAGCCAGACAGTATCTATTACTGTCTCTGTTTATTTTTACAACCTTCAGTGATATTAAGGCCTACACATATTATTATTTATCTATGTTATACTGATGGACTTGTCTGATAATACAGTCAACAATTAATGAGATAGCAGCATGTTCTAGTCATACAGGATTTTGCAATTAGTCTCGTTTTGGCATTAAAAACCTGGTATTCTTCCTGACCTCTAAATACATACTTTCTCTATTTACCAGAAAATCTAGTACACTGTGAAAAAAATGAGAATTTAGTAAAATGTTACTTCTGTCCCTTACTTGAAGACCTTAGTTTCGAAATATAGAGGGAGGAATAGGATGGAGGACCAGTCTAGAAATAACTATACTTATGATACTACTGAGAATAAAACTAACAATATTATTCTGATACATTATAGAGTGGGTGAGAGGTAGATAGATATGAGAAGAGATACTTGTATATAACAAATATTTTGAGAAGTACAGGGGTTTCTACAACAAAGTTCCTCATCACCCGTTCCGCCCTGAGCGAATGGGTCGCCGCATCGCTCTGAGCGGCTGGGAGCGAGACCGAAAAATGTGTAAGAAGACTTTTTCCGACATTATAGCGAACATCTACCAAAAAGCGAAAGGAACTTCGTTCCGACCGAGGGTCCATAGACCCCCACACTGATTTTTTTTTCTAGAAATGGACAATATTGTCAAATATTACAGCTATGACTTGAAAGTATCCTGATAGTAATGATTGTAATATTTGAGGGTTTAATATATTCACATTTTACATAAAAGCATACAGACCAATGCAAATAGATAAATTCCTACATAAAAACATTAGACTGACTGAGAATAAAACTGAACTCTCAAAAAGAAGTTAATTTTTTTATATATAAATGCATAAGCAATGTAAATTAGTTTAATGTCACTAAGTTAATCTTAATAAAACATATTTTAAAATATATTTTTCATTATTATCTGTAATATTCGCTTGGTGTATAACTAAATTTGATTTCAGAGTTATTAGAGAGTAATTAAGGTCAAGTATATTTTGAAATTTTTGTTTGGTTTTTACATAATTTATATTCAGAACATCTCTGGTTGTGTACAACTTTGCACAAATGTTCCTTAGATGATGTTTGTGTGTGTTAAGAAATATTTTTTTTTTAAATTCCACCTCTGTGTGCAAACAAAATTTGATTGCCAATTTTTATGAAACTGTTATTGCTGGTGGTAGCATTTTCAATTTCACAGTAAATACTTTTTGTCTATACTAATTTTATAGAAGGAGAAGAAAATTTTGTGAGTTTGTATGTTCGGAGTTATCTCAAGAACTACTGGTTAGATTTGGAAAATTATTTTAGTGTTGGAGAGCCCTTTTATCGGGGAAGGATATGCGCTATATAATATGCTATGACAATACGAAACCAGAGAAAATTTATTCCTTTTGAGAGAAGCAAACATAGTTGTCAGCTAGCAACTACCCACTTTCAGCACATAACTTATATCAGAAAATTTAATTAAGAATTTTTATTGGTTTTTGTTTGCACCACAAATTCATACATTTCTTATTAGAATATGAATACTTATATTATGTGTAATGATTTCCTGTAACGCTAAAATTTCATAATTAAAATTGTCATGTCGCAATTCTCATAATTAAAATTGTTCCAAATTCAGTACAGATCTACGCCCGATCTTGGAAGTATCATAAAAGATATTCTTGTAGTAAAGTATTACTAAGATTGGCAGAATTAAAATTCAACTTTCGGTTACAATATGGTATAATCACATTACAGTCAACATTGGATGTTTAATACCTTACTATGAGAATACCTTTTCTGACATTTGTGAGTTTGGGAGTAAATCGGAATTTTGCACCAATTTTTATCATGAGAATTGCCTTCAAATATAGCTAGTTCAAATTTCTTGCCACATTAAATGTTATATATAGTTTAACTCAAACTTACCGGCCAGGGTGAACCTGTCCATGTAATTGATGAGGTTGATAAAACATAGTATACCGACAGTCATGAATTCGATAAACGGGATATCACGAAAAGTATCTCTTCTTCTAGTCTGCTTCTCATGCAGAAGCGCTGTTGCCGAATTACTATCACTATTAGCAACAAGTTGCTGATTGGAAGTATTCGGGGTGATTCCACTCTGGTCCATATTGAGTATTATATCAACTATACGAACACATAAACCGTCAATAATTTATTGGTCAACACGCACAATAACTACAAGTAAAAAATAATTCAAGAACGTAGTATAACTTTCACTTTGATTTTCGAATTTTATAATTGGTGATAATTGAAACAAAATAATTATTTAAAGTAAATACATTATAGGTAAATTCAGATTTTTTAACGTTGAATTGAAATTAAACAACCATAATTTGTCACCGGTGACCACTCGCCGTGGTTGTGGAAACCTTTTGAATGTGACAACTGACAACTCAACGTTCGAATGACATGACTAGATCGTGACATCAAGTGACGTGCTGCAAACTAGGGTTACCAGTTCTAATTTGATGATGAACTATTTTTTTAAGAAGAGGGGGCAGACATTCCGACGGGTCACCTGATGGAAATGAACTACGATGTACGCCTGCAACTTAGGAGTCACAAGGGCGTTACCAGCCTTTGAGGAAGGATTACGCTCTTTTCTGTAGAATTTGGAAAATTTAGAAAACAAATTTACAAAGTAGATTAATCTATCTCGTCATAATTATATATTTGGCATAAACTACGGTTTTTTACCGTTTATTAGTGGTATCGGATATACTCACTCACAGGTGAAAGGTAGGGAAACATTATGTTTTTTTTTAACAGAAGGTCTTGATAAACTATAGCTGACAAGAATTGTTCTTGTAGAAAAAAATCGTTCAGAATTGAAATCCAATCCACTTTCAACCTCATAAGTGTCAAAAAAATAATCTCGTAGATAAGTATTAAACAGCCAATGTTGACTGTAATGTGATTATTTCTTATTATTGAGTCATAGGATTAAATGGTTCTTGTATTGTGTAGTTAGTTGATAAACAATCGAGAGTCGTATGGAATCCGGCGGACAGGGCCATCTAGTATCAAGTAAGGCACAACGGACATTACGTATTTAAATGTTAATCAATACTTCATGTTTTAATACGTACTATATTTGCTGCGATATTTGTAGATTCCATAACGTATGTGGGTCTGTCCGGAACATTCAATCAAATTCCCGGGATTATTCTGGGAATTTCGATAGACCTATAAAAGCAGAGCGTGTTGGCCGTACGGCACAGTATTGTTTTCGTCGGTGCGGGTTTAAAAGTGCCGTTTGATGGAACATCTTCGTGGTCTTCGATGGCATTCGTGATCTCGAGGTGAGAGCTGCAGTGAGGCTTGGCACCATGTAACTCTCAAGGACGCCCTGGCCCATGCTTTTGAGGAAGAATCTGTGAGACAAGACCATAGCTCTCATTGCGTCCGGGAGGTTGTGGCGTCACCTTTACGGGATCGTTTTAAAGAATATAGCCCTAGATGTAAAAAAGTGTGGTGGAAAGGATCATTTTCGGTCTAGCTGCCCTAATCGAAGCATAGCAAATGAAGACGAGCTGCCTTAAGGAGATTATGGTGGCTAATAGCACTGCCCAGCAACAGCAAGTAAACGAGTAAATGCCAGGACTACGGGGTGGGTGCTGGCTGGTGTTCAAAGAGCCCCAAGGATTTTGATCTCGCAAACCCATGATAGAAACAGCCTGGTCAACATCAGAGGCAAAATCAACGGAGCGCCATGTAAGCTGACGTTTGATACGGGAGCTTCTCGCACAGTTTTCAATTCAATTCAATTCTTTATAAATGAAATATAAGGATTACAGTGTACACCTGTGCCTTAAATCTATGCTAATTTTAACGAAGTTGTAAAACTCACACCAACATAAAGAAATAACATAAGATTTGGAATTAAAAAACTACTTTTTAACATTTAGATAAATATTAATATGTTTTAAAACTATGCTTTGGGAGTCAAAAAATATATCTGCATCTAGACTGCACGGACATCTTTACTGCACGGATGGCATAGTGGTTTAAGCGGTCGCCACGCCGCTTTCTGCTACGCCGAGTGTTGTGGGTTCAAACCCCACATGGGAGGACACTTTGTGTGATCCACAAATTGTTGTTTTGAGTCTGGGTGTTCTTTGTGTCCGTTTGAACATACATGATGTTCGTAAAGTCCCCCGCGACCTCAGGATATATTCGTAATGGGGAGTTATCTTTAAAAAAAACTGTGATATAAGAAATGCGAGAGGGCAGACTTACGTAAATGCGCCAAATATGTACTGCAGTTACACTGGTCTGTTGAAATAGAAACTCTATGATGCTTTGTAAAGTTCCTCTTTGAGAGTGTGGCCTATTCTTCTATTGTCAGGTTACTAGTTTTTTTTTGTTTTCTGACACTCTGTAAAAATACTTTCACATTATTAGATTATTGAAAAGTTCCATGTGTATTTTCTATTATAAAAGATCCTATAACTTCAACATGGTCTACAGGCTCGTTTTAAGAAAATAAATAATCTTGCACTATAATAATCTTGCAAATAATCTTCCTTGCTAAGGAGGGGCCAATGTCCAGCAGTGGACTATTAGAGGCTGTTCGGCTGTATTAGAGGATCTCTCACAATGTTCTATGTCATTTGCTCAGTCACTTTTCATATTATAAGTTTTAAAGAAACTCCTCGATTTTTTATCTTTTATGCAAACCTTTTCCTGACAATAACGAACATAAAAAAAGAATTATCCAATTTAGTGCAGTCGTTCGGAAGCGCCCGCACACACATTTTTTTTTCATGATGAATGATTAATTGATTGACTGTAATGTTGTATGATATGACATGGTTCGATGCTATGCAAAGTATGGAAAGAGTTTTTAAAATTTCGATTACAATTGTTGTACATAAGACTTTAAACAAAGAATCGATTTTGGAAAACATTTGGTATCGAATAAAAGAACCGAAACCCCAGAAGAATCTATTCCGTACCTGTCCCACCACTACAGAGTCCAATCTGTGACAGAATCCACAGAGCACCGTAATATTATTAGAGAGCTTTGTTAGAGAGCCAGCAGTTTACCTAGGTTTAGGTTAAGCTGATGTGTTTGCTCAATCCGGGCGATATATTTGTGTACAATGCGTAAAACAATTTTCCTTTTGTGTTTAATTTATTTTGCAATAAGTTTAGGCAAAAAACACAGTGATGAAGAAAAGCCGGCTTGGGCTAAGAAAGATATTAGAGATTACAGTGATGCAGACTTAGAACGGTAATTTCGTCAGATGAGAAGTAATTTATGTATATGTTATGTACCTATATTTATTTGAATTGTATAGAAGTTTTATAGTATTTATTCGAGGAAGTTACTCACTACTTAACTAAACATTAAATCAAGTACCTACATCGAGATATAACGTACTATGTATAATATAATTCTTGCTTGGTACAGTATAATCTCGATGAGTACCTACTGTTTTAATTTTTTATTTAAATATATATCGAAAGCACAAAACATATATATATATATACAACAAATATAATAACTTCAGCCATCTTAAACACAGCCGCCTGAAACCAAATTATAAATATATAGTTCAATTTGTTTGTAAGTCTTAAATAAAAACACCAATTAATTTTTTTAGGCTTTTTGATCAGTGGGAAGAAGATGAAGAACCTTTACCAGAAGATGAATTACCAGAACACCTTCGGAAGCCACCAGCACTAGATTTAACTAAGTTGGATATGACAAAGCCAGAAGAGGTTATGCAAGCAACTAAAAAGGGCCAAACATTAATGATGTTTGTAACTGTAGCTAATAAGCCCTCAAGAGCAAGATCTGAAGAAATAACCAAGATTTGGCAAACTAGTTTGTGGAGTAACCACATTCAGGCAGAAAGGTAAGTTCCTTATTACATGTCCAGAAAAAAATATGTATATAATATTTATAAATAACAATTGATTAAAAGTGTGTATGTGTATATATATAACACAATATATATGAATATGAATGTATGTATTCTTGTATGTATGCGTTGGTATTTATATATTATTTCATTTCTTTTTGCTCAGTATTGCTATCATTACTTCTTTTATATTAACTTTATAATTCTCAACCAAAGGGTAGTGCACCTCCCCACTCATTTCCACACCACCCAAAGGTAGACTGGTAGAGAATGCCTATGGCAAAAAGTCTGCCATTGTACTTATGTGCATAAAGTTGATAAATAAATAAATAAAAGGTTGACTATAACATATTCAATAATAAAATCTTTATTAACTAAATCACTATGAATTAAAATAGAGATATTCTACACATTTTACTCCTGTGTCCCACATATATTTTTCCTGACCAGTCTATTCTACTAGGTAAAGTTCTTCAATCAATTAGGATGTCCGCAAACCATAGTGGGTTTACAGCTCAGATCCAGGAATTGCATAAGGAAAAAGGAAATATTATCATGACCCAGGCGTTGGTTCCTATGAGACATGTGATATCCTGCGTTAGCCGAAACCCGGGACCCTATCAGGTCCCGTGTTTCCTTTCGAGCCAATCCTCCCACCCAAGTCTTTCCCTCTACTTTTTAACAAGGATCCAGCAGAGCTGAGATTTCTGGTCCTCGATTTCTTGAATCCCATGATCTCGGCTCGGTATGAACTCCAGATAGACATTGAGGGCTCGAGGTCCCGGCGCCGGCGCGCCGGCGTATATGATATATATGTATTTACAAAAAATTATAAAAGTATTTTATCAGTGAATCTAGCTTTCAAGCCCTGCTTAAATTGAAACTAGATGGTGTTGTGTTAGATGTCCCAGAATAAAATAAAATATTCAATGTATAAATAAGCAGAGTACCCCTATTTTCCTATGCTATCTTGTGGATAAATATACTATAATCTATTTAAGAATAGGTCCAGTTACCATTAAAGTAATTGTTTGTGTGTTGCTTTAGATATCTGATTGATGATGATCGGGCCATCTTCATGTTCAAAGATGGGTCTCAAGCGTGGACTGCTAAAGAATTTTTATTAGAACAGGAAGAATTAAAGGAGGTGCAACTAGAAAGTCAAACATATCCAGGGAAGAAACCTGATGTAAAAAATAAATCTCTAAGAGATGAATTATAAATAAGTGTAAAAATCTTATAATATATTATTATATTTTAAATGGATGCATTTATTTTATAGATCTACCTTCCACTAATGAACCAACAACACTACCAATAGTATAGTGGCAATTTTTTAAAGTAAAGTCGTGGTCTATTTAAAAACTTTCCATTATATAAACTAATTGATATAGCAAACTGTGTTTTTGTAACATCGTGTGAATATCTTGCGCGGGTCATCGGGGTCATTTACCGGGGCTTACGCTTCTGTCTGACTCGACCCGACTTATGTTCTGCGATAAGTGACATTTAGCGTTAAAACGCTACAACGAGTTTCAAATCCCAAAACCAAGAACAATTCGAATATGACAAAAAAGACTCATTGTATGTATGTACATAATTTATAACATACCAACATATTAAAAAACAAAGGATAAACGGGGAGATAACTTTGGGTCATCCATTCGAAAAGTATAATAATTACACAAAGTAATGAAATTTATTATTTTATAGTTAGTTACAGCTAGCGAACCATCCGATTAACCCGTTTCTCATACCCAGTGATATTACTTTACGCGCAAGTGCTGAAACATGGGAATGCTCTCTCTCAATCAAGGCCCTAAGGAGAGCGTGAGGCTACGAAAATATCTTTTATGACAGTTGCGAGATCCAGAGTTGATCGGAACGTGTGCGTTACCCCAGCAAAATATAAAATAGTCATTTAAATGTTATAGATAATTAGTTGCCCAGATTCTGTAATATTTTTAAATTTTTGTATGAAATACTTTTTCGTGACGTCATACCTAGCTAATTGTCAAATTATTTATATGTAATGTTGATATCAACAGTGGGGTGTGAGGGGGCGAACCACCATCTTTCGCCCCAAGCTAACCTCACCTGCCCGCGGTGCATCATGCTGAACGACGAACCAGGCTCTGGCGACCGACCGATGGCGGTATATCCATCCCAATAGGCGTAGCTAAATACAACAGGCCGGTGACGGGCAGCAGCACCTCATTATCAAGCTCACCGAGAGGTATAGCCTCAAGGTTGTGCAAGTGTACGCTCCGACCTCGGCACACTCGGACCACGAGGTGGAGAATATGTACGATGACATATCGATGGTCCTCCACTTCACAACTAAGACCCACTACAACGTTGTTATGGGTGACTTGAACTCTAAAGTTGGAGTACATAATTGCGGCGAATCGATAGATCCCATGAATTTGGAAGCAGGAATCATAGGGGGCAAATGCTGGTCAACTTCCTCGAAAGGGAGGGGCTCTTTTTCATGAACTCTTTCTTCAAGAAACAGCCCCAAAGGAAGTGGACGTGGCAAAGCTATGACCAGAAATGAGATCGATTTCATCATGACGGATAGAAAGCACATATTCAGAGACATCTCAGTCATCAATAGGTTTAATACCGGTAGTGATCACCGACTTGTCCGGGGCTCTCTGAATATCAACTTAAGGTTGAACGTGTCTGTTTGATGAAATACAGGCTTCGACCAACTCTGCTCCAAGCCATGACCGGATCTGAAACGTACCAGTCAAAACTGGAAAACTGATTTGCTGCCGTGAAAACCACAACCGACATAAACCAGAACCTCGAAAATGTGGTTCGGATCCTCAGAGAAGAAAGTACGAGATTCTGTGAAATGCAGCGTAAGGGCGAAAGGGTCACTTGCGATTCGCAGACGACATCGTCATCATGGCAGAGACGCTACAGGACCTACAGCAGATGCTGAATGACCTAGCTGACTCTTCTGTACGCATCGGCCTACGGATGAACTTAGATAAAACCAAGGTCATGTTCAACGAACATGTACTACTGGAACCGATTGCAGTACACGGTGCCGTGCTCGAAGTTGTTTAAAATTATGTATACCTCGGGCAGACATTGCACTTAGGCAGAAACAACTTCGAGGACTAGGTGAACTGAAAAATTCTGTTGGGCAACGTTAGGGAAGCTACGTCGGGTCTTCTCATCGTCGATCCCACAGTACCTTAAGACGAAAGTCTTCAATGAGTGCGTCCTACCCGTCATGACACACGGAGCCGAAACGTGGACACTTACGGTACAGCTGGTCCACAAGTTCAAAGTCTAAAAAGGACTATAGTAGTGTAGGACGCCCACGGGCCAGGTGGAGTGACGATATGCGCAAGATGGCTGGCAGGAGTTGGATACGAGAAGCCCAAAATCGATCTAAGTGGCATGCAATGGCAGAGGCCTATGTCCAGCAGTGGACTGCGATGGGCTGATGATGATGATGATGTTGAAATCAAATCATTAAAAAGATTAAATTGATGATTGGTATTAAACTGATTAAATTGATGATTATTTTAATACCTAGGAATCTACCCTATTGTTGAGCACATTTTTAAATTTGTTGCACTTTAGTTTTTTAGTTATTTTACAAAATCATTTTCTGCTGTTGTAACGTTACCGCAGCCAGACATTTTCTTTTTGACGTGACAACGTCTTATAATTCGATGGAGCCGGCTGCACGCACGAAAAAACATGACTCATGCGGCGTTACCTCGCTCTGAGGCGTTCCATTTAAGGCTTGAAGTGCAAGCGAGAGCGCGGAACGAGCGACAAAGAGGCACAATCGGCCTCCGCGTTCGGTAGCGTTTGACATCTGTCTCTCTCCTACTTGAGTGAGCGATGCGTCCGCGTGGACAGCTGCTATACAATAATACATTTACATGTTTTCGTAAAATGCAATCATTCCATCGGTATTTTCTTATGACGTTGTCACGTTCAACTATCGTCAATAAACCGACTTTGCAGACAACCGATTTTTTAAATTGGAATATTGACATAAAATATTAGCCATGTAATATTTTATTTTAATTGTCTAGACTAGGTAAATATTGCAACTTATTTTGTACCTATTTGTTTTTTCTTCGAGATCCTTGTACCTAGATAGTTCTACAGTTCACCGGCTCATCGCTCCCGCTCTGATAGAGTAGGTACAAAAACGAGTTCAGCTGTGTGCCGTGGTTTGTTTGTTGTTGCATTCACACATACTGATTATTGTATAGCGCTTTCTTTGTCAAAATATTTAATGTGAACCATGATGCTCAAGTCTACTTGTACCCACTTCCAGGGTACACCCAAGAATACCACAAATCACCACTGCCAATGCTAATAATTAAAACACGAATCACATTTAAATTCAAGAAAATATTGTTTGGTTGCACACAACTGATACCTCGAATTAAAATCGATGAGCGTCATCTAGTATCAAACAAGATGATAAACATTTAATATTATATTAGGTGTTTGTTTCCTTGACATTCCGGCTGTAGTAACGTTTATGGGTTGGTATGATGGATCTCTGAAACGGGCAAGCGGATTCTAATTATCTTTTGTACATATTTTTTTAAGAATGAGTTTTAATTTTTTGTGCAAAAAACAACAATAATGCACCATCTAATTAAGTATAAAAACAGTTCAGATTGATAGTTAATTTAAGTTCCAATATGTTTCTCATCTTAGAAATTATTAAAGCATTTAACACTATTAATGCTAAAAAAACAATCGACCCATGGGGAAATTCTGTATTAATTACTAAGACGAATATATGTATATGTTTTGGCTTATCAATTGTCATTTACATTTGATCAATTGTGGAGTACCTATTTTCTGATCTTATGAAGTATAGCAAAATTATTCCGTTATTAAAATCTAGTAGTACATCTGACCCAACTAACTTTAAACCTATTTCAGTACTACCAATATTTATCAAAATTTTGCAAAAATAATGTATGATGAATTACAAAACTTTTTTAAAATAATAACTTATTAGACAATAGACAATTTGGTTTTACAAGGGGTCGCCCCATAACTGATGCCAGTGTCGAGCTAGTTGAACATATTTGATGCCTGGTAGGACGCCCACGATGCTCTAGGTATCTTTTGCGATTTATCTAAAGCTTTTTGATTGTGTTGTTCACGCTTTGTGAAACGCTTAACAGAAAATTATAGCACTGTGGTTTTAAAAATAGAGCACTGAAGCTTCTTGGTTCATGTCTAAATAATAGGATTCAGAAAGTTGGTATTGCGGTCTTCAGGCTCTGTGGTAGAATTGGGCGTTCAACAAGGTTCTATTCTCGGCCCATTTTTGTGTTTTTAGTATTACTGGTCCCCATCAAAACAATGTTGTAGTACTTATATTTAAGGATGCCATTGTATCTACCTGCTAATTTAAAAAAAGTGTGTTTGCCCCTCTATTCTCATAAGGCTTAACCCCTTGGAACCGGCGGTAAGGCTTAACCCCTTGGAACCGGCGGTTGTAGCTCGGCACAGGCAAACCTCAGTTTGTCCAATCTCAATTGTTGCTATTTGTTTATGACTGAACTGACTACTCCACAATTAAAGTCTACATGAAAGACGATTTCAAACAATTTTAATTTTTTTTTTAAATAAAGATTGAGTACGTAAAACACTTGGAATAAGACTTCTAAAAACTTACTAAAAAAACAGTGGCACTCCGGGAGTGGCGACAGAAGTGAAAACTTAGGTATATACAGTGGTGTCGGTGACGATAACAGTGTCGCGAGTCGCGAGTTCAATAATTGCTTTTTCCCTTCTCAAAAAATTGCCCAACGCGCCTAAAAAAGTTTTTACTTCAACACAGGTGTCGTTAACGGTAACAGTGTCGCGAGTTCCATGGTTTTTTCCCATCTCAAAAAATGTGTTTTTAACCATAAAATACATTGTTTTGTTTGTTATTCAAAAATGCTCAACGCGCCTAAAGAAGTTTTTAGTTTTACAGATTTATGTATGATACTGTATAAGGCCGTATATTATTATATCTTAGTGTTTACTATATCTATCTAGGTAATGTAGACAAATGATGATCGATAAAAAGTCACCTGTTTTTTGGCATCTATAAATGATACTGTTCACGAATATAAAAATAAATTAGACATTGAGGTACTTAATTAGGTCGAAAATTGCTTGCATTTTTTTTTAAATACTCATTACATACAAATGTTAAAAAACAGGTGCAAGCACGTTGAGTTTTTATACATACTCAATATCTAATTTCTTTTTTAATATTTGAATCAGCCGCATTTATAGACCCCAATTTATATTAATAGAAATGAATGAATGTTTGCAAGGGCACACAAACGTACTGAGCGGTAAAACCATTGAGTGGTAAAACGCAACATTCGGGTTGCAGCTATCTTCATTAGCGCAGACTTGTATGGCGCGTATTATCTATACCTACATAGAGATATCGTGATTGAAAATGGCAGGTTATTAATTAACTAAACTTATTAATAAATAAGTTCGATTATTCTCACATTTTAACGATTTTTCATGTACAAGTGAATTTGAAGAGTCACAATACTACGGTAAAAGACCAAATTACGTAACTTTGAAACGAAGTCTAAAATAAATTCTATCTATTGGTTGTTTCCTACTGCACAATTTGATATTATAAGTATTGTAGTTGAGCAGTCGGGAATCAACTATAAGTCTTAATGCTCTACATACTGATTGAGCGGTTTAGTTGAGCAGTAGGACTAGAAAATATTTTTTTAGTTTAGTGCCGTCGTTTATATTTTGAATAAAAATATGTTTGGCTCTGCAGAACACAATAGCACACTCGCAAGCGTGTAAATGGCATCCAAGCGTTTGTAAATTGAAGCTTGTGGACGGCCTCGGCACGCATGTAAACTAGGCATAAGCTATTTGAGTGCAAGACCAATGGTAAAACGTCACCACGTTTAGGTGGTTACAAAAAATGTAAATGTAAATATTTACTATGCGCATATTTTGATTACAATGTAGAGATTGTGAAGTTAGGGCGTATAGAGTTAGAAGTTTTGAAGTTGACAGTGTGAGCCAGTCTGGTCTTGGGAACATTTTACATGAATTTTTTTTGGCGGGATGTCATTTATACTTGTTCTGATGGCTGAGTGCAAGTTTATTTTACATCGACTCGCACTCGACGGCGAGCGCGTTTAGCGTTGCGATTGGTGGCGGTCACCGTGACGATCGAGTACTAGTGAATTAAACTCGCACTTAGCCCTCTGGATGTGAGAAGCACTCAGAAGTAAAGATAGGATACCGCGTACCGCTTTAAAAAAATACAAAGATGATAGGTAAAACTGAGCAAATAATTCTCATTATAACACTAGTTATGTAGGCAAGTTGTAAAATGACTTATTAGAAATACACATTTTTAATTTCTGTGCATCTATAATTATTTAAGCTCTGCATCGCCCTAAGGTCGACTGGGAGAAAATGCCTACGGCATTAAGTCCGCCTTTGTCACATTTGTGCATCAAGTATTATTAAAAAACAGTATAATCCAATGCCTACAGTCAAATCTAAAGTCGACTCAACTAATCGAGGCAGTATTATTCAGTGGTTGAAGTTCAAAAAGCTTAATAAAAGAGGTTGCAAATGTAACAAATATTTAGGTAGTTATTTATTGTGCAATGGAATTTTAATTTTCTATGCCACTATACTTTTTTCTATAGTCTTAATAAGTCATAATGCCGGTTAAAATTTATGACTGTTGGACTGCTTAAAAGTTCGAGTATTAACTAACATTCGCATTTAAAACAATAATTAGTTTTTTTTGGAAAGGCATACAATGTCTAGTATAAATTTATTTTAAATACAAATTAGAATACGAAATAATACAAAGTACTGGCATAATTATTTTTGTGACCTTTCGGTATGGCGATTAAGTTTGTTATGTGATTTAAGTAAAATACCTAAATTATTTAATATGTTATATAGTTCAATATGGGACATTAATTAAAAAATGATTATCCTCATCACACAATAGGGTAGATTCCTAGGTTTAAAATAAATTATTTCGCCTGTATCATTAAATCTAACATCTCAAAGTAGAGGCTGAATTGTCCTCCATTGTCAATTTGATTTTTTTATTCATTTGATATCTTGAAATCAACGTTAAATATAAATGATTTGACTATAACTAGGTATGACGTCACGAAATAGTATCTCATACAAAAATGTACCGCGTCCAGCGTTTTGACGTTTAAAAAAAGACACTGATTTGACTTTACAGTCATCTACCCTATTGTCCTGGGTGGAAATCGAACCTACGACTTTTAGCTTAGCAGTCAGGATCACTAACCACTAGACGAACAGGCTTGTGGTTGTGGTGTAACCAAATCAACAATGTGACATAATATACTTTTTTTCTATTTAATTTTTTACATATTTACTATATTATTTTCAGATTTTAGTATTAACTTGTATGTATTTGTTCATTCTAATACTTATGCTATATACTGTGCTGACATGGTATTTAATTAAGGGGTTCAACATTAAATTCTGAATCATTAATGAATAAAAATAACTGCATGTTTCTTTAGATAATATAATTTGTAGTTTAAAGAAAACATTATATGTTTATTTAACAAGTAGTTATGCTGGCTCATTAAATTCTTTTAGAAAGCATCAGTAGCTCTGAAATGTTCTTCATCAATAGTTGAATATATGTGACCTTCACCACACATCCATTCCAAGATTTTCCTGAAAATTATTATTGTTTTATTACTAGCTATACTAGCTGATTGAGTGATTGAAATAAGTTTTTGTAAATACCAAGTTTGTATTCTCAAGTAATAAGTCATATGGTGCAAGTTATGTTATAACTATGTAAGTACAATAGTTTTCATTATTTTACAATTATTTTTTTTTACAATATCTACTACCTCCAAATTACCCCTTTTCAGTTGCTTTATCTTGTTCTTGAGAGATTGCTAAAACACTCAACACTAGATTTTCATGTGCATGTTCTTTGTCCCATTTAAAAAAAATCTTATATGTGAGGGACCAAATAGCTTCCTGTTGCAGAATTCTACTTACTCAAATTCCATTTGTGGCATACGGTCTTTTAGTGAAGTATACATATCTTGCTTACTGATCCCCTGTTCAAGAGTAGAAGCTCTTATTAGATTGAACACCATCATTTGACGTGGATTGAGACCATTGACTGAAGCAGTACTGTCAGTCATTCCAACCATTGAATTTGATGGCAATGCATTTGCGAATGTAGGGTTATTATTAACCACTTTTTCCTGTTGAGACAAATCATTTACATATTAGATTATTTAATCCTGTTCAATATGTTTTTATTAGTATTGACAGATTACCAAGACAATTTATTTCTGCAATAATTTTATTGTATTTATAAATTATTGTTTTAATTAAAATATTCAATTGTGTACAAAATAGACTACCAGATGTACTGATAAACGATGTTTAAATTATTTGGGGTTTAGTGTTATTGATAGTATATGAAATATGAACATACTTATGTCTCTTAGTACGATATGAAATGCCATTGCAGATTACAAATAATATAATTTTAAATTATTTACCTTTTTAGAATCCTCTTCCATCTTAACCTTAGTATGAATGCAGTGTAGATAATGGAAAGTTATAGCATTAACATCTGTTATTGGCATAATTTTAAAAGCCATCAATACTTTTTTTCCTTTGTTGGTCTTAACATTGCCGTAAACTTGTATGTAATCATCTACTTGAACTTTTGGGGTAGCTGCATCCTGTAAAAATAATTTTAATTTTTGTAAGTCATAATATATACATGAGCAATGATGAAAATAGGCAACTTTAGGATCCTTTATTACCTCATTTAGTACTTTCTAACTAGTACGGTATCTGTCTGTCTCTTCATCTATCTGTCTTGTACCTCTTCACAGTTAAATTGCGGAACCGATTTAGTTGAAATTTGGTATAAAGATAGTTTGAGTCCCGGGAAAGGACATAGGATAGTTTATATCCCAGAAATCAAACTTTAAGGTGGTGAAAAGGGGGTTGGAAGTTTGTATGGGGAATCGGTAACCGCTGAACCGATTCGGATGAAATTTGGTATGATTATAGTTCGATTCCTGATAGGCACATAGACTTTACTTTACTTTTTACAGCGATAACCAACCAACCAACACTGCATAAAAAAACCTACAGAACTAACACAGTGTAAAATAAAAACTCAACATTCAGTTTAGTGAAACTATTATTTCCTCGCCTATAAATTATATGTTTTTTATGAACTTTTTGAATTGACTTATGAACTTGTTAGAACTTTACTGGTATGTTGCAATACACAGGTATTATAAAAAGACACTTACATCTTCATCTCCAGCCTCTTGGTCTAGCCAGAGTACAGCGCGCATACGTCCAGTTATATCTTGTACTGTGTACGTTATCTTAGTACTTTGCACGCGGATGTTTCTAACTCGAGCCACAATGGACACAATCTGAATTTCTGTTCCCCAAATTTTAACACCATCATCTCCACAGTGCAAAGCTTGCCTGATAACAATAGGTGCTGTACGGGATGCTCTTCTACCCTGAAGAAACATAAAATTAATCCATTTCACAAAGCTTCGGATATCGTAGTTTATAGTAGGTACTTACTCCTTTTTGAGCTTGATTAGGTGTGTTCACATTGCCAAATTGGCCGGGGGAATTAAAAAATCCTCCACCGACAGCAGACTGATCTGAAGCAATTTAATAACGATAATAAATTGTCTATCAGTAACTTCATCAAGAGCACTTAATTTGAGTACTTTTCTTAAAACTTACCATTCCACATTTTATTAGAAGATTTAATTTAACCGAAATTGAGTTATTAGATTTCTTCGCAGGTCTAGGAACTATTATTGTAACTTTAATTAGTACTGGTACTTTTCTGTTTATCGTCATGTACGTATAATTTTTTTTAATAACAAGTTTCGACACGAATTGTCATATTTGTCTTACATATCATAACGCGGGAATCTAACAAAACACACAGTGTTGTCAACCCTATAATTCGTTGTTCCCTTGTAATTATTTAAAATTTAACTTAATATTACTCGTTGTGTAAAATAGAGCAACACGGTAGGGAATAGCCATACGCAGGCGTTCCCCTCTGCCAAAGTATAAGTCCACACGGTCTACGGTCATATGAGTACAATAAAACTAATTACGGCTGAACTGCTCACTAGACTAAATCTAGTTACCGAATCGTTCAGTTTTTGACGTGACAACCAGTGCCGGATTAAGACAGCGCGGGGCCTGTAGCAAATTCTACCAAGGGCCCCTTGGGTTGTTTTAGGTTATCTAGTTTATGGAATTTATCATCATCCTCAACAGTCTATTGCTGGATATGGGCTTCTCCTTAGAAAGGAGAGTTTTGTTTGCTATGCTACGCTGGCCAGACGGGTTGGTTATACCAGTCTCAAATTTGAAACAAACCCTACTCGGGCTTGTTTTAAGTTTCAAGAAACAAGCCCTATAGTTTTTGTTTCAATTTGGAGACGTTGGCCCATGTCATGTGGTGTTGAACAGGGCTCTGGTCTTGGGCCCTCCTGTGGAACATAGGGTACGACTAGGCCCCTCGAGGAGACTTCCCCCGGGCTGGGCGTAATCTGTTACGCCAACGACACTTTGGTTGTCTGTGGGTAGGAGGGGGACCTGGGGTGTCTCTGGTGGTTGGCTTAAAGGTGGTCCTGGATAAGACGGAGGCCTCTTATTTCTTGGGCCTAGTTGTAGTCCACCCCCTGGCGCCTCAATCGTGGTCATCTTGGTCAACGTACCGGTTCAGGCCCAGATGAAGGATATGGGCCTGATATCTGACGGGAGATGGCTCTTCGATGAGCTTACCCTTAAACTGGTCGGCACTGCGTCTGCTCTGAAGTGACTTTTGCCCACCCAGCATCGTTTCAAGACAGCTGTACACGGGGCTGTCCAGTCAATGGCACTGTACGGTGCCCCAGTGTGGACGGCAGTTCTGACCGCCCGGCATAGGGCGCGCATTCACCAAAATTATGTAAGTGCTATGGATTATGGACATATTATTTCAATGTCTATTGTGCAGTTTGTGTTGTATGTTTACTATTGTGTCATTATTGATTTTTATTACCAAATGTTAAGATTTAATATTAATATTATTCTGGGTTTGAATATAAAAAGCATGTTTACTCAGCCTAATACAAAAAATGATTGCACGCCACTGTTAAAATAAGTCTGAGCTTATAAAACATATTTTATTCTGGCGCCCTTAGAGGGCATTGGCAGTTAGAACCATGGTTATAGCACCGTGTCGACGCCTGGCCGGAACACTCTCGTGGGATTTGGGAAGGAAGTGCTCGGCCCCCACCCGAAGAGGAGCGCGAGGGGCGTAAAGCCTCTCGCCGAGCCACGATGGCTCGATGCCGTAGAGGCACTCCAACCGGTCGTTGAGTTGAGGCCAATCATTGAGTGGGCAGAGCGTCCAGAGCAGAGCAGGTTCTTTCTGGGTACGGCTAATTCTGCAATCGTTCGATAGGAGGGAATTGAATCCCGCCAGTCATCACTCCGATTGCAGTGAGGACGCGGCCCAGCACACGCAGGCAATTTGCTTGGCTTGGGTGTCACACGCAGCGTTGGGTCGCAGTGCAAAACATAGTTTTAGAAATGTACTAAAAGTTTAAATTTTTTACTTAACACATCACACACACGGCTGTATGTTTACCTAACTAGGCAGAGCCTGTACTATTCTAACCAGATTGCTGATAAACATACTTATATATTTCTCAATATATACATATTATAGATAAATTACACCCAGACACAGAACAAATCATCGTGCTTATCACACAATTACTTGTCCTGGGTGGGAATCAAACCCACGACCTCTAGCTTAGCAGGCTCACTAACCACTAAACCAACAGGCCCGTCAAATTATAGTTTGACATTTAGATGCAACTCTTTCGTGATAAGAATTTTGGCTTTATTGGTTTGAAAAAATATTATTACACTCCGATCGAAATACGAGTAAGTAGATACTTTTTTACGGTCAGAAAGAGCGGGGGCCCCCAAATGCGCGGGGCCCGTAGCATTTGCTACTCTTGCTACGTGGCTAATCCGCCACTGGTGACAACGTCTTATAATTCGATGGAGCCGGCTGCACGCACGAAAAAACATGACTCATGCGGCGTTACCTCGCTCTGAGGCGTTCCATTAAAGGCGTGAAGTGCAAGCGAGAGCGCGGAACGAGTGACAAAGAGGCACAATCGGCCTCCGCGTTCGGCAGCGTTCGACATCTGTCTCTCTCCTACTTGAGTGAGCGATGCGTCCGCGTGGACAGGTGCTACTCGTATACAATAATACATTTTTGAAAAATGCAACCATTCCATCAGTATTTTCTTATGACGTTGTCACGTTCAACTATCGTCAGTAAACCGACTTTACAGACAACCGATTTTTTGCTTAAAAAAGAGATCTGCCACGTCAAGTTTATAAAAAGATGGCGTCGCCTTTCTCATACATAAGTAATTTTGAATCAAATTATTACTATTTTCTCATTTTTTAACGTATATTTAGAAAAAATAACATTTTTATGGTTCGGATCAGATTTGCTTACCAACACACGTCGCTCACTCTCATACAATTTTAGGATCGGTCGAGCGAGTGTCGGGTTGCTAATCGCTATCACCGAGCGATAGTGTTGTTACCGTTTTTAAATAGTTAAAAATCGGTAAAATAAAAACATCCATGTCCTTCGTGCATATTCTCATTTTCAAAAAATAAAAAAAAAGTGAATTGATTGAAGCTAATATTGGTCGAGAACAGCATGTAAGGGAAAAACTGAGTGACTTAATTGAAAATATTGCAACGTGAGTGAAGCTGTAAATAATACATCTCAAGTAAATAAGACAATAAATAAGCCAAGTAATTTCTATGTTATTAAAAATCCTGATTTGACGCCGAAGGATTTTGCACATGTAATTACAATTTTGTTTTGAGTCGAAATGTGTCATAACATGGGTCAACAATATTTGTGAATTTACCTAACTTTTCAAAACTTTGGATGGGGAAACAATTTTTATGAATTGGCAACAATAGCAACGCTGTCATTATTGTCACATTTGTCACTGTTGGCAGTTGATTGATTAGTTCGTTTATTTCACCGAAGTGTAAACTTTCTGATTTATTCTTTGATAACTATAAATAAACTAGTTTAAGCACTTGTTTTACATTAAATAATCTTTGGTTCCTACTAGGAAAGTTTCTTAACTATTTTTTTTATTGAACATACTAACTAAAAGCTTTATAAAATTTATTTTAAACGTATATAAACATAATATCGTTTGAATGTTTTGCTCGTTATAATGTTGGAATAATGTCTTGTAAAACTGTTCATAAGGGCAAGTATTACGTCTCCTTTAAAAGAGGTTTTGAAGACAGTAAAAAAGACGTGACTGTAATAATTGAGAAAGTTTTCGAAACTGATGTCTTGGTTAGTAAATTGTTCCAATTTTTGTTGTTTTTTTTTTATACCGTTTAACTTAAAAACTATTTATTTCCAGAAAATATCTCTCTCAGATGATGATGATCCTACATTCTTATGTGTGTTGATTATAAATCGGATAGACTATGAAGATCTAAAAAAGCAGCAAGGCTTACTTGTAGATTTTGAGAATTTTCCATCACAACTTATTCGATTATTGCAACAATGTGCTTCAAACAACATGTAAGATGATTCCAAATTTTAAAATAACTACATAATTCAATAATGTTACTATCTCATATTTTTATACTTATTTTGATTTGATTGCTATTTATTAGGTCAAATACATGTTTGCTTAAAAATAATAAAAAAGTGTATTCTGAATTACTTTGTGGCAATGAAATTCTAATCATATTCAGTTTGGTGTAAATTTCTAATTAGTAATTATCCGTGTTAGAGTTAGAAAATGTTAAAATAAATCAAAAGGTTGACACATTATTTATATAATTGGCTCCATAAAGGCCCTCATTTTCTTAAAAAAAAAGTTCCTTAAAAATAAGCCAGAAATATTTATAGAGGAATTTAAAACAATTATAATGGATTAAAAAAAATGTTCCAACCCTATCACATCATCATCATCAACAGCCTTTAATAGTCCACTGTTGGACATAGGCCTCTCCTTAGAAAGGAGGTTTTGGCCTACTATACCAGGCTGGCCTAGCCTGGCTTGGGTTAATATAGTGTTTATGTCAAGTTTTTCTTCTCTATGCAGTGTAGATGTCCTGCGTAGTTTGCTCCCTTACTTTTCTCTTACGACACCCACGGGATGAATAGGGGTGGTGACACTCTGTATTCTTAATCCGTCACCACACAGACAAGTATTCAACCCCATAGTACTAACTTTAAATTATGATCTTATTTAGTTGTGTTATTGATAATGTTGTGATTTTATTTTATTAGATTTGAACCTGCAAAAGGGTAAATGCCATTTATAGTAAAATATCATATTTTTATAATTGTGATCAATTTCTAGGTTCCTGATAATGCAACAGACAAACCCAATGCAATATTATTTTGAGGTGATAGAACACAATGAGTTCAAAAGGCTTGTACATTTATCACTCAAGACAGGACCGGCTACAGATACTGATATTAAGAAGCATATGGCTGATACTATTATGAACTTAAAAGTAATATTAGTCCATTAATTAATAAACATGTTAGATATAGTTTAGTGTCTTGTTTTGTTGCTATAAATAAATGCCAGTTACATGTGAAACCTACATAATTATATGGGTAGATAAGTAGTAGTATATACTAACTAAAGATGGTTTAATGTACAGAATATTTGGATATTTTCTTTAGTTACTAGTAACTGGCTGCGCCCCACGGTCTTAGCCGTGGTTGTTATAATCTGTCTCTGCCAAATTTTATCCAAATCCGTTTAGCCCTTTTTTGTGTGAAAGAGTAACAAACATCCATTAAAACATTCAGCTTTATAATATTATTAAGATAACAATATTTAACATACAACTATTGTCCCCGCTAATTATTTTGACCCATCCATATCCACCCATGAAAATTCATATTTTCACTTGAACAATGCTGTACTAGTAAACTTTTGTTTATCTATCTATAATAAAAATTTATCTGGCATGATTCTGTATAATGGAGGATGTTGAGCCTCCTCATATCTCATCTTCATTTTATGTAGTGGTTTGCAAGGATTACTATTAATGCAGATTATAATATTTTACAGAGGACTTTAGCATCTGTAAAGAGCACAGCTGTCAGCACTGAAACTATATTAAACGACAAGTGTATGAATCTTGAAAGAAAAATACATGACTATAATCACAATATTACTAGAATGGAGGAAGAGAAACTGAAATTAGAAATAGAGTACAAGGAGTCCTTAAAGCAAGAGAGAGACAAACTAATGCAGGTAATTTAGTTATGGCTATACACAAAAGATGGAAGATGCTAATCTTTACATAGTGGAAAACGAAGTCACTTCTTTTAGTGTCGGATCTGACATTTATTGAACTTTACAGGGCAGCCATTTCAAATAGTTATGTTAGTTTTTTGAAAATAGGGTTTGTTTTAAAATGCAATAAAAATAACAACTAATAATTTTCTAGAAAAATCACATGCTTCATTTTACTTTGAGCGCCTATCAAATCCTTAAGTTTACCGACTGAATAATTGAAAATCTAAAATACATATAACTTTTCTTGAATTTTGTAATAATATTTAGACAATGTAGTATCCAAAATATGGTAAAAACTAAATTTCGATGCATAAAGACCCTATTTCGCCTATTTAACAGTAAATCTAGTAATTATTTAGTTATATTAAAAAATACTAGATTTACTGTTAAATATCTTAAAATACGTACACAAAAATCGAATGATAAATCACAGATCACTGTGATTATGTCCCATGTGCAAAGCCGGAGTGGATCGCTAGTATATTCATAAAAATAATACCAACCTAAAATAAGTTAGAATAATCACTCCAGTTAAATGTATGGCAAATTTGTACATAAGAAGATTTTTCAAGTTATTTACATGTGATATATATGTTTCAGGAAAAACAGCAGTGGCAACAAAATGCAGAGCACACCATGAAAAACCAGATTGCCTCATATCAAGACAGTCTAAATAGAAAAGAGGCCCAAGTTAATGAAATTAATTTATTATGTAAGCAGTTGAAAGAAAACATTAATCACTTAGAAAGTCAACTGAGGTGATATCTTTTGTATTTGGATTAGATTAGGGGATTAGATTTTTTTATTTTTTATTTTGATAACCATAAAATCTGTATCTCAAAATAGATACTAGATACTATTAATCTATAGACATTAATATTAATTACTCTATGGATACGAGGGCTGCTATTTATGTATCCGGAATAACAAAGTGTAACAAACATATAGCATTAATTATAGTTTTATTGCTTTTCAAAATATTCGCCGTGATGATCGATGCACTTTTGCATACGTTTAAACTAATTTTTGTAGCACTTTTTCCATTCTGATATCTCCAAAACGTGCATTTTGAACGCATCAACAGCCTCTTCATGGCTCGAAAAACGTTGACCACATAATTGACCGATGTGTGGCAGCTAGCATTGTCATGATGAAGAAGGATTCTTCGTTGTTGTTTATTCTTTCTTATTTCTTCAAAGAGTTCTGGCAAACAAAGGGTCATGTACCATTCAGAATTAATTGTTTTACAATCCTCTAGTGGCACTATAGCCACATGTTATGCGGCTATGTCTGGCTACCTGTATGTTGATGTTTTGTGTGATTTCATATTACTTTTATAATTACAGTGACAAGATCCAGTGTCAAAATGTGCTAGAAAAAGAAGTACAGAAATCACACATTGAGGTAGCCACCCTCAAGGCAAAAAATGCTTCTTTAGAGAGAGATTACATGGAAAAAGATAAATTGTATAATCAAACAAATGCTAAATGTGTTTATTTAGAAAAGGTATAAGTCATAAATTTACATATAAATCTAGAATATTTTTACGTCTTTTTCTTGTCTGGGAAAAGTTGAGGTACTAGAGTTTTTACTATGATATAGGTAAACAGTTTGCGCCTTAATGACATTTAACAGTTCATTCGCACATGATAATGAAAAATAAGAATTAAAAATACCAGCAACTCTGTAAAGAGTTTACTGTGTCACTACGTCATAGTCTTAAAGACCTAAAGTTATGTTTCTAACATGTAGACATATCACACCACAATATTTGCTTCCATATTAATTTGTTAGATTATATGTAAATATAAATTTAATAATACTATTATTGTTTAAAACTCGTACTTCTTTCAAGTTGTATTAAATTACTAAAATCTTAGCTCTAAAAAAGTCCTTGAATATAATGTTACAATTAAATAATAATGCATTGAGAATTCTAACACTAATAAATTCTAATTTGGTGTGGTTACAGACAATAAAAGACAATGCAGATACAATAAAGGATTTGAATAGCAGCATTCAAATTCTGAAAAAAGAAAAGGTTCGTTGTTGGCTATACTTTCTTAACTTTAATTAATATTTATTATTTTAAATGGTAGAAAAATATGTCAAGTCATTCTTAATTTCCTGTTACAGCAAAGTTTAGAGGAGAGATTGGCACTAAGTGAATCATTAGTAAATAAAAATAATGATGCCCTTCATTCAACATCAGAACAGCTTCTGAAAGCAAACCAAATAATATCTAAACAGAGTTCTGACCTCATAGAAATGAAAGAAAAGGTAATCTATGTCACTTAAGAGAATGTAGTGTTTGGAAATATTTTGGTAAATTAGTTATAGTGAATGTACCTTAATATTTTCTATGAGTATGTGATGCACTATCATCATCATCAACAGCCTGTAATAGTCCACTGCTGGACATAGGCCTCTCCTTAGGGTGGAGGTTTTGGCCCAACTATATCATGCTGGCCAGACGGGTTGGTATCGGGTTTGTGTCAAGTTTTCCTTCTCTTGGCAGTGCTGTTGTCCTGCGTAGTTTGCACCCTTAGTCGGCTCTTACGACACCCACGGGATGAATAGGGGTGGTGACACTCCGTATCCTTAATCCGTCACCACACGGAATGCACGGATGCACTATCATCACACACAAATACAAAAGCAGCAGAATATATTGTTTTATATTGACTTATAAACATTAGTCACCCAGGAGAAGATGTTATGTACTTCATATTGTCGTATAAACATTTCAGTTACTATGCAGAACAGCAATAGCTCTAGAACAAGAAAAAGTCATAGAACGTAATACAAATGATATGGAGGAACTGAAGAAGCAGATAGTTAACACAGAAGAAAGTATGGACAAACTGCAAAAGGAGCTTGATGACTTGAGAGAAAAGTATGAAGCTAACGAAAAAGCACTTCGTGAAAGAGATGAAACTATTAAGAATAATAATATGGGTAATATTTTTATTTATTTTAAATTTGAAATGTTTGAGGTCGACATACTGAGTCTTCTTTAAAGGAAATAGTTGTGGTAGAAACAGTATAGTACGCGCCATATAACTCTGCGTCAACGAAGTTCGCGCGAGATGCGCGGCAAATTTATATTTTATCAGAGGGGTAATTTCTGCAATCGGAAAGAAACAGGAGGGGTCAGTAGTACATCTCGCTCTAACACATTAAGTGACTTATCTGCTTTGCTCTAACATACTGTTGTTAACATAATTGTTAAAAAAATAATAATATGGTTTTTTGACTTATGTTTGTAAGTTGATTTCCTGCTTTTAAAATTCCGATTTACTGAGAATTATTTGAGATTATTATAGATATTATTACAGATATTATTTTAGTAATTTGCCACTTTAATAGACTAAACTTTGAACATAATTCTATTCAATGGTGCTAATTCTGTTGTTCAAAAACTCTCCAAACTAAACTAAAAATCACTAAAAATTTGTTTCGTCCTGTCATATAACGTTTCCTGTTCTGAAAACGCAGAATTTGGCAGGAAAATTTTTAGTTTAGTTTAGAGAGTTTTCGAACAACACAATTAGCACCATTGAGAACTTATTCCCTAGTACTTCGGAGTTGTTACCAAAAGTGTGATATGTATTTTACTTTTTTGCCACTTTAGTATTTAAAATGTTTAATTAATCGTTCGGAAATAGGTACACATGTAAAATATAAAATTAGCTACTACTCTGAATTAAATAAATTGAATTTTGTTATTAATTGTTTGTATAACTTGAATCACGCAGGCTAAATGAAATAAACTTGTGTTGTTCTGTAAACCCGTCTGGCCAGCGCGGTATAGTAGGCCAAAACCTCCTTTCTAAGGAGAGGCCTATGTCCAGCACTGGACTAGTAAAGGCTGTTGATGATGATAATGATGTTCTGTAAACAAAAATTATCTTTTATTGTTAACACTACAAACTACTTTAAACTGTAAACAAAAAAAACTTCATTTAAAGTTTATTATTCATTCCTTCACAATTAATTATTTATTTTAACTTTTACACTTTTATAAACACAAACAACTTTTCACATCAAATAAATCTCCATTTTTAATAACCAAAGCCTACAGATTAAATTAGCACAGATATTGAATATTACTACTCCTATACCGACAGCGCTACGCGCGGCAAAATTCAAGTTAAAGCAATACAGCAGTGTTATTGTATCTGCGTAACATTCGGTCTGCAGCTAACTTCATTGACGCAGAGTTATGTACCGCATACTATACTTCACTGCAAAATAGAGTTTATTTACAAGTCTTAAGTCCTATTCCCATATGATTTTTTTTTCAACTTTAGGAGAACTTTACCAGGATCATTGTTATTACTTAATTATCTTAGGAAATGCCTACAATTACTTTTCAAGGAGATGATTAGGTTCTTCAAAGAGAGTATTAGTAATTTATAAAGGTGCATTATATGCGACGACTGGATGGCGTAGTGGTTTGTGTAACGGACTGCCATTCCAAAGGTCGCGTTCGATTCCCGCTCAAGTCAACTCAAGACTATTTTTTTTTACTATTCTACAGGTGTTAAGAATAGCGGCTTTTATATGTTTGAGGGAGTAAATCTAACATTTTTATTGATTGGTGAAGTTGTCTTGGGATTACACCTGTAGTTGATAGGACTATGGGAACAATATTGACTGTTTAGTCGCCACATTCTTGCAATTTCTAATTTGAGGTCTCAATACTTTGAAAATTGCTCTGCTATGATATTTTGTAGGTAGTGTGTGTTTGGTACACCAATGTTTATAATTTGTGCAGTTTTATTGATTTTATCTTGTAAGCTGACGGTGACGGCCCGAGGGGGTTTCCACACGTAAAAAAAAGTATATTGTAATGTATAATTTTGTCCGTTAAAATTGCACGGTCGAAGTATAGCTTATGTGTAGAGTTTTATAAGAGAATTTGAGGTGAATATTTGTAGTAGGGTGTTGGCGGCGAGGTGATTAGTTTATATTTTATTGCTAGTTTTTAATGGATAATGTTAGCTATTTGATCATGTCTCTGTTTGTAGTCAGTTTGAGTTATTGTTTTACATGCTCCTGTAATGTGTTGCATAGTTTCTGAGATGCTATTACATCGTCTACAAATATCTATTGTTCGAGGAACACGCATGATATGTTTTTGGTAATTACGGGTCTCTATAACCCAGTCTTGAACCGCTTGTATGAAACCCTCTGTCTCGGGGAATAGGTCTCCACTACTCGTCTTAGCGACATTAGGTTTCTGTAGTTATCATCATCAAACATATTGAAAGGAGTTAATCTTCGGTGTTTGAACACTATTGCTTTATTTAAGATGCATTCCTTGCTTTTTGTTATTATAATTATTATTTTTTAAAACATTCCCGCACTAGGAATACATCCTGCGTCGCAGGGGACTAAAAACATTCATGCAACGGACACAAAGACTCAGAATAACAATTTGTGGATCACAAAAAGTGTTGTGTTTACCATGAGGGAGTCGAATCAACAACAATCAGGAGAGTAGCAAGCGGCGAGATGACCGCTTAAACCACTACGCCATTTTTAAATATACATATAAAAGTATATTCCGTTAGGATCTATTTAGACAAATACATTAGTCCAGCTTTTGGCGGTGGGGTGCAATGGGTTTTTTGTAGTTATTTAATAAAGGCAACCTAGATTGAATGTTTTTTAAATAACTTTTTATAAAACCACACCTAAGATATATCGTATAACTATCGTAGTCATAGACATATTTGGTCAATATACACGGTGATTTTATAAGCGTTTTGGAAACGAAACATTTTAATTTGGAATCATCTATAGTACTAATAAAAATGGTTAAATCAATATTAATGTTGACTAAAAAAAAGTTTCAGTTTTAATATTCATTTTTACTCGATCGACTTGGAAAGTAGTAATGCACTGATCATTCGTTCATTATCTTATATGAATGAAACACGTCCGTGCGCGTTTCGGCGGCCGCTGCGCACCGCTGACGCTAACAGCAGCTGATAAAAGTATACCTATAGGCGCGAGCTAGCGAGTACTTACGTAGATAGACTCCAGTTTGTCCTTCATACTTTACACGGGCTTAGGACCGTCGGAAATACCTATTTTATTTAAACTTCTTTTCGATTATTAACCACGATTGTTCTTTTCACAACAAATCAATTTATCAACGGACTGTTGGTATAAATATTTCATTCGTATTTAAAAATCGGAGCTATCTACAGAATAATTAACTTACATACCTATTTACACTATTTACACTTCTCTGTATCGAAGCAACTGCTCAAAATGGAGTCCGCTGCGTTCAATACACACGTCCACGTTTAATTCAATTGTTTTTTAATTTGTTTAAAACATTGGGAGTCAGTTTTATTATTTACATATTACAGTGATCCAGTGGCTACATAAAAAAATGGATAATTTTGAACCAATGTCATCACAAATTAATCAAAAACAGGGTATTTTGATGGCAACCAGTTCTACGCCATATTTTCTTTCGAGAAATAACAATCACACTGATTCACTGCATGGTATATCAGAAGAATCTATAGACTTTTATGGGACTACCAAATCGTAAGTGAATAAAGCACATGTAATGTAATATTTCAAAAATTAAACAATTCGTTTTCTGTAAAATATTACATTTAATTATATTTTCTTTTTTAAATAATTAATTAGTAAGCCTAGGGATTTTCTTAGACTTTTTTGCTACTGAGGAACATAAAACAAACTAATTTTTTTTTTCGTAGTGGATCAAATCACGAAGAATCGCCTGGTCCCGAAAGTCAAGAAAAAACTAGTAAAGTTGGTCTAGATCCAAAGTATCTACAACCGGCAGTGAATGATAATAAACTTATGTTTTCTAAAGGTACATATAAAACATTAATACTAAAATACATATGAAAATATCCTTATACTATAATCTGTAAGAAATGACGCGATTTCTTAGAGATCTTATTGACTATAGTAGAATACTACTACACTATCAATCGACTATTTCTCCTTTGCAAAAAAGTAATACATACCATTGTTAGATTGAGAGATATGTCTTCTTCCAGTGCCAGGTATTGATATTCATGACACGGAATAGTATTACACATACGGAAGTAATAGATAGAAGGAACCTCACAGAAAAACCGGTGTTATATAATTCTTTCTCTTCTTTTCACCGATTCTAGGGGGATGGACGGGACAAAAAAAAAGATAAAAGGGGGGACGGACTCCAAGGGTGGCAACGTACTTGTGACTCTTGAGTTGCAGATGTTCATGGGCGGCGGCAGTTATTTACCAACAGAATGCCTTACTCGCTCATCACGGTGACCGCGTTGTGTCTGGTGAAGATTTCAATGCGGGCCAATCGCAACACCGAACGCGGTCACCGTAACGAGCGAGTTGATGTGAAATAAACTCACACTAGGCCCTCAGATGACTTGTTTGCTCGTTTGCCCCTTTATATCATTAAAAAAATCACGTAGTCGTAATCAAGGACTGACGGATTTTTTGAGTTGCGCAAGTTACGTTCAACTGAAATTCGGCTAGACTGTCCTCTCCTACCTCACCCCAAACGTGATTCAGTTAAAATAATGCGGGTGAGTCAGCAGACAATTCATTTTGCGCCGCTGTGTGGCACAAACAGGGCTTTTGTATGAAACGGAATGTAGCTTAAGTTCAGCGACTCATCTCAAATAATTACGATCGCTTGTCCTCACCCTAAGCGCTCGTGCAGCGTGCAAGCGACTCGCGGCGACTTGATAGAACGTATAGAACTAAACAGCTCAGTGCAGCGTGCTCGTGACTGGCGACCAATGGTTAAAGATGTTCATTTTAATGATATGCTGCAAAGGTCAATTTAGATCTAAGTACATTAGATTCACAACTTATCTAACGAATTTAATTAGATAAGAGATATTACTGTATTGTTTAAAATAGCTTAGTAAATAATCCATTACTTTTTTGTAAGATGTAAAAGATATTTTTTTACTGTGAGTTAGCCATAGGTGATAGTCACATACTAGTAACTTTATTGTAGATCTTTTTAAGATAAGCAATTAGGTAGTATGTTATTTTGATTTATTTCGTAAAGTTTAGCTAGCGTTTGCAATGTAAGCGCACAAAAAGAATTGCGACCGCACGTTACAAATATTTCTCTTTTTTCTCGGCTTTTCTCTTTTTCGTAATTTTGACAGTAGTGCCTACTTTTACTTCAGCCAAACAATAAGTATGTTCAGTACTAACCCTAAATAGGTAACTAAATTTTCAATTGCTGTTGATCGGTCACTAATATTCACTCATCGCTAGTCGCTCGCATGCTGCACTGATTTTCGTAGCTGGAATTCGCCGCGACCGAAGTCGCGACATCTCTTGCACGCTGCACGGGGTCTAATTTTTGACCTATTACATCATATATAAATTGAATACATGTTGTAAAGAGCTTCACTCTGAGTTACACTCATTATTGTGGTATATTTATGATTATGAGTTGTCTATTTTTTGTAATGAGTGGCATTCCACTTACTTATTAACAAATGGATGGATAATGGATGCCGAGCATTCTGTAAAGCTCTTGTGTAGGTATTTAACCAACTTTTTGTGTAATGCCAACAGACTGGATTTCGTGTCGATACAAAAAGTATTCTCGATGTGAGATGCAGTTCCTAATACTGTCCCAGTTGTACTGTACCTACTATGAAAATATATATTTAGTTGAACTTAATTATATATGTATTTTTTTACAGACGCTAAGAGCAAGAGTTCTAACCAGCAAAGTCAAAAAGGCAAAGAAAATATTAATTTACCAAAAGTTAACTACAGAGAAAAGAAGTCGGCTCGTGGTTCTACATATCGGGCTACTCCAGTCTCGGCCTATTTTCCGTAATTCAAATAAATATGAATAGTGCAATGAAAATAAACTTCTTTACCTAAGATTATGTTCGACATCTTTGATTTTGTTTTAACCTTAAGGGTGATACTGACAATGATGACACTGCTCCTGATACATCCTTAAATAAGTATTTCCCGAATTTATACGAAAGATGGTCTGCAGACCAGTCGCACTTTAGGATAGGTGCGCCGGTTTCGCAACTACTGAGCAGGCGACCACGGTAGTCAAACTTTGTATCGAAACCAAAAAACGCAAATAATTTGTATTTTATTTGGAAAACATAAATAAATATGCGAAAAACATTACCCCAAAAAATGTATTTGTTAAAAAAATATTATTTCGATAATTATACATTACTAAAGGCGATATAAAAAAAATATAAATATTAAAAATAATAATAAATATATAAACATAAATATTAAAAATAATAACATTGACGTATTTAGCATGTTAAAATAGCGGTCGCAAAGAGATGTGACGGTCTGGAATATTGTCAAATCGATTCGAACTTCAATCGAGTTGAATCAATTTGACAATTCGTGAAAATCGGTTCCAAACCGAACCGATGAAATTGCAGTAAGCCGTGGTTTGAACCGTATGATGAGTTGACCAGCGAATGTAACATATGAAAGCAATGTGCAACATGATTCGACGAGATCAATAAAACGGTCATTTTACGGTTTGCAACCGAGTTTACATACAATTCTAAAACTTGACATTACCTTGAAATGATTGGCAGTTTGTTGAGAGCTAAGGGCAATACAGCAAACTACCCAGTCAAGTAACACGATTACCATGCCTTCTTTTTTTTTCATTTTGGTGGATATAAGAAAAATATGTCCGTGCGTTGCGAGCGGTTAGTAACTCGGTTTATGTATTAAATTATTATTAAACGATGCGCGCTAACCGTATCCGATTTTGTAGGAACATAATAATATAGTTTGTGCTTGTAGGTAAATTGATAAAGATTTAGTGTCGTGTCGCGTCGACTCGGTTCATAATCAATTGGTAGATAAATCAGTTTGTTCGGTCGGTAAAGCAGGAGCCGCAAGCGCGATGGTACGACGCGAAGTGCAGCGTGATCTTATGACACAGCTCAACCGGTTTAAACCACGGGCAAAACGATTCAACTCAGTTCATGCTCAAACCGGTTAAATTGGTTTGAAAAGTCGAGTTGTCACACTACTAGTCGCAAACCAGCTCACTGGTGGTCGTAAACCGTCGTTTTGGCTATATTTTTAGTATTTTATAATAATTTATGGATGAAGGTATTTTATTTTATGTTTTATATCAAAACTAGACTATACTTGAAATCTATTTTGACTAACACACTATATTGCGTAAAGATATCATTTTCTTTTACTCGTCTGAAATGAGCAACCCCGTTAACTGGTCTCCAACCGGCGCAATGACCCTATACAAGAGAACACATTGAATACCATTGATCACAGTTTAGTCATTTTACAGTTACACAATTATTATTATACCATTAGTGAAAATTAGTGATGTGCCGAGTCGCTATTTTGGTGGATCGAATCGACTCGAGTCGGTTTATACGGTATTCGAATCATGACTCGATTCCGCGATTCGAGCCCAGTACTCGAGTTCTATGTTTGGTATTCGAATGTTCTCTAGTCTAGCTCTAGTCCAGGACTCGAGTTTAAGACTCTAAACGAGTCTAAAAATTCGAGTCCAGAACTCTAGTCTGGAAATTCGATCTAGAACTTGAGTCTAGAAATTCGGGTCCAGAACTCTTCTCCCCTGGGATAGGGCCTGATTAGGCATGGTGTCAATTCGGGGAGGACCTGAAATAACATGGTCCGGGTCCTCCCCAGAGTAGGACACCTGAGGCCGGCCGTCGGAGTGGTTTTAAGTGGGATCACCACATACTCCGGGCTCATAGTCCCCGAGGAGCAGGAGATCCGAAGGGATTTTCCACCCCAATAACAAAAAAAAAAGGCGACACATAATTCCTTTTGTAAACAGATATCGAGTACGAGCGAGTCAACCTAACTCGTATGCTAGATTCGAGTCACATGGAATCGCTAAACAGAATCGAGTCAGCGAGTACAAATTCGATTCTTCCTGACTCGAGTGCCGGAATCGAGTCCGGCGTACTTGAATCAAAATAAATTGGTATTCGAATAAGCGAGTCTAAAGCAGGAATCGAGTCTGACTCGAGTCAAGCCCTACTCGGCACATCGCTAGTAAAAATACTGGATTAATGTACAGTTTTAGGCTGATGAGACCGGTTACCGGATATCAGTTTCAGCTCCAATCGCAATGTGTTATTATGACGAGCGCAATTAGAAACTTAGATGAGAAATCCTTTTGTGTTCGAACTCGCGAGCTACCCGCGCAACGATTTATATTGATGATGCAATTAGGAGAAAAGCCGAACTATCTTTGTAATGGACCAGGCTGCAACCTGCCAATTTCAAAGTAATTGAAGATTCATAATTTGCATGTACAAATTTTTACGTAATAATGTTAAAATTGATAGGTAGAATGTCTTATATTAGCATTCAACTTTCGTAAAAAAAAGTTTTGTAACATAATGGCATAAACGAAAATGCATGTAAAAATCTTGTTTCAAATTTTAACGCCACAAAGCTGTTCTCACAGGACTTTAGTAGCCTACCTTAGGCTTCATAGTAAAGCAGCGGTCGATGGTGATTTCCAAGTGACTATGAAGTCGACTTTCATGCAATCTCCTGTCCGTGGTCAGTGTGTGAGAGTGTCCACCAGTCTAACTGCACGAATAGTACATTCCGCTAGAATTAATGAGTGAAGTGAGTGAGAAACATATTAATGAGTGTCTTAGTGTATTAGTATAATTAAAGCTACCGCACATTATGGCTGTTTGCGCCGCAGTGCTTAGCTAAAGTCTTCCTGCATCACTTTCGGACATTTTATAATATATGTACTATCGCACACTACAGGCGGGCCGCATCGCAACTCACTTTCAAAAAAAATACCCCAAGTATTTTTGAGGCTATGTTATGCATTACGATGCGGTCCGTCACAATTTACGTCGCTTTAGTATCTACGCTCAGCTATCCATCGCTTTTGACTATCAATTATTTTTATTACATTTTATTATTTAATTCAAGCTCGGAACAATGGCTGTCAACGATTTACTGATACCATTATTGCAATGCAGTGTGTCCCGATACGACTCCCATCATATATTTTGTACTTTGTCGCAATTTTACATTACGGTGCGGTGCGTTCTGTCACGGCTGTAGTATGCGCGAGACTTTATTGATTGTATAGACGACAATGTATTATCTATGCTCATTGTCTTTGGATGAAATTTGACTTTATTTGTCAGAGTTAAAGTGACAGATCGTATGAAAAAGAGAATATTATATTGGTCGGGTGGGGAAGGTTATCATTATTTTGTGTTTGAGTGATTCATTATTCAATAATTTTGTACTACTGACGTGATTCCTCCCAAATGAGTTTATTAAATAAAAAGTTCAAAAATTAGTTTAATGAACGATGTTAGTCCGGTGGAGTGACTATGTATAATGCTTTTTTGTGTAAAAAATTGTGTAATTTGATGTTCGAAGTTGAAAGTGAGTTCCATTATAATGCCGTTCGATTTTCTGTGTTGTGTGAGACCTGGCGTCGAAGACGTGGTGGAGTTGGATTACTCACATCAATCGCTGGTCGACTTCCCCACTGAAGTATTTGTGTATGAACGAACGCTCGAAACTCTACTGGTGCAGAGTAACCGTGTAACAGAACTCCCGCGACAATTGTTCATGTGCCATGGTTTGAAATATTTGGATCTCAGTGATAACGAAGTTTCTACATTGCCAGCAGCTATTTCCTCTTTAGTGAACCTTCAGCACCTGAACATAAGTAGAAACACTCTGACATGTTTACCAGAAACTATGAAAGCATTAAAATACTTGGCATTCTTAGATCTTAGTGTAAATCCATTAGAAAAACTGCCAGATGCTATTACAAACCTTACTGCTTTACAAGAATTGTATCTTAATGACACATACCTAGAATATTTGCCAGGAAACTTTGGTAGACTGGCTAATTTAAAGATACTTGAATTAAGAGACAACTATTTGATGATATTACCAAAATCACTATCACGTTCCACAGAATTGCAGAGATTAGACATAGGACAAAATGATTTTCAACAGTTTCCTGAAGTCATTGGAAAGTTTGTAAAATTAAAAGAGCTGTGGATAGACAGTAATAGTTTGACATGTATCACATCCTTTATAAAACCCTTAGAACATTTAGTACATCTGGAAGCAAGTAACAATATGATAGAAGAACTTGCACCTGAAATTGGATTTTGTGCACGGCTAGCAGATTTGACGCTGTCACTGAATAATTTGACACAGCTACCAGATAGTATTGGTCAGCTGAGCAATTTGACTACATTAAAATTGGATAATAATAGGCTATATTCTTTACCTGAGAGTATAGGACATTTGACAAATCTGGAAGAATTGATGCTCATGTGTAATTTTTTAGACAATTTACCGTCTACTGTGGGACTGTTACGGAGATTACAATACCTGAATGTTGATGATAATATGTTGATGTCAATACCCCCTGAGATAGGGAGCTGTACTAAGTTATCTGTGTTATCAGTGAGAGCAAACAAGTTGACTAAGGTCCCCCCAGAAGTAGGTCATTTAACATCTTTACGTGTATTAAATTTAGTAAGGAATTCTTTAAGTTGTCTTCCTCAAACCTTGTTGAATTGTGATAATTTAGTAGCCCTCTGGCTCTCTGAAAACCAAAGTAAACCTTTAGTGCCTATGCATTCTGAAGTAGACCCTCACACATATGAGCAAGTCCTTACTTGTTTCCTCTTCCCCCAAGTGCCTTTAACCCCTGTTGAAATGAAAATAGAAAATGAGAAACCAGAGAATGTGGAAATCCAACCATCAGCCCGCCATATAAGTTTTGTCGACTTGAAAGCTGCACCTAAAGTAACAGAAAAACCAGGCCAATTGAGAAGAGCTCCGACACCTTATCCAAAAGAGTTAAGGGCTTTAGCAAAGCATGCAAGAAACATTCATAAGGATGGTACTCAGGATGTTTCACCACCCATGCAGAATGCAGTACACATTAAAGCTGCTAAAATAACACCTACTTTACAGCAAAGATTTGCATCTGACAACAAGATGGAAGTGGATAGTGCAGGGAAGGGCAATTTAGGAACTACAACTAAAGATCAAATGAAAATATCTGTCTATGATAACATGCCTGCAGAAAATGCCTATGATAAACCTTTGGATCTTACGTATGAACAAGACAAAACATACAAAAGTGTAGATCATGCTCTGTACTCGGAAAATGCAACTGCTACTATTGGTTTTAAAGCAGATAGTGGAGATTATCACTTAGCACAAAGACAATATAGCTCAAAACAAAATGACAAAATCTACAGTTCGAGGCAAGATATTGACAGAACAGGTGTTACGTTAAAACAAAATATCCATGGAGCAAACAAAGAGAGAACAAATTATGCTATGTCTAATGATATGAATTATCGAACTGGCTTAGGTGATGCACATAATAGATTACAAAGATTAAGCTTAAGTTCACAAGATAGGCAACCAAATAATGAAACTATATTATTACCCCATTTTAGTGATACTACGTATAATAATAGATCGATGTTGGAAAATGTACCGTCTTTTGATGCCATATATGCTAGAAAAGGTCACATATGCCATTCTGTCTCAGAAAACAACTATCATAATAATAAATATGAGACTGAAAATTGTGCACATGCCAAAGATAAAATTTACAATCAAAAGAATTATGATGCTTTAAATTATCACCCGCATGTGCATCGGGATTTGTCAAGTCCTCGGGTACATACCGTAAGTCAAGTGGTTAGCTCTACAACAATGCCAAATTTAAGCTCGTATAGTAACTATTCTGGTCCTGTTGTAGAGAGTCATGAGTATACTCCACCGCTGCAACAAACACAGTCACCAAATGCTAACATTTATGGCATGGCAGCATCAAGTCCTACTTATGTGTCAACACAGTCTCCAGAGCTATACTCACCAACAGGCCATACAAACACAACTAACCCCTATCGAATGGCAAATACACCACTGATCTCGGATGATGGAAGCTACAGTCACATGCACTCACCAACTACTCAGAATATGTACGATATATATGATGCCATACCAGCTTCGCCTAACCCTAGTGTGGTTAACCACCGACACAGTCCTAGCATTTCAGAACCAGTTTATGGTCGAGGTCAGCCTCCACCTTATCATATTGCAGCACCTTACACAAAACATGCGCAGTATTTCAATGGAACTGGAGGATAGTGTTATATTCATGGAAAACCTAGAGTTTTCCAAAGGATGCACTCTTGTGATTGTGAACATCATTAAGGAATATGTGTATTGATTGAACATGATATCTTTTTTCCTGTTTTATAATGTACATTTTCTATTATATGCATGTGCAATTTAAATGTGATATGTTTGTGTAAAATAACAATGTAGTAATATCTAATATTAAGGTGCTAAGGGATGGATCATATTATTGTTGGAATATCATTCAAAGTAGTATTTATATTTTTTAAAGTTGAATTTATTCAAACAAATTTAAAACAATTGTGTCTTGTAACTAGTTATGGTTTTAATGTAATACCTATAAAACAAAAAGTGGTAGGTACTGATTAAGTACAATTTGTAACAACTATGTTGTTCCAATATACATTCATGTAAGTTAAATATAATGTGATGTTAACATTGTGGCATTCTAATGTACTCATTCAAATTTTTTATAAAGTCTGATTTTATTTACTTTCAAGATAAGAAATGCGTAAGGTGTTTGCCATTAATGATAGTAGGGCTTAGTTTCAAGTTAGAGCAAAGCTGAATGTTCTTGTTCCCACTACTTCTGACATGATAAAATGGTTTACTTAATGTTGAGGATAGGTGTATATTTTTGTAATTAGGTGGATATGTGTCTATGTATGTATTATTAATTGAGTAATAAGTAGTTTGGTGTCATAAACTATGTAAATATTTTATATTCTAATTTACAGTAGTATCTTATGAGATTCTTTTACATAAGCACATTTCTTCATATTTGTACTCATTTGCCACATAGGAATGTGATACAGTAAAGTATATAATTTAAAATAAATATAAATTATGTTAGTTTCAGTACTTACAAAGATAATAGAAAATTATTTAAAAATATATAATAATATTATTTGATGTCAACAACAAAAACAATTAAAATTTGTTCAAAGTCTATGTATATCATAGGGACTATGAACAAATTTTAATTCTTTGGTTCCTTAGTATTAGGATATTGAGTGAACAGTAAAGTTGTGTCTAGCTGTTTATGTTTTGTGTTTAGTCATTTTAAAGTATTATTTTCTCATTATGCCACAGATCGTCAGTGGAATTCTAACAGTGTCTGTGTCTTTTTTTTTGTGCTTGTATCATTTTTACACTTTTTGAAAGGCGCATTTTTCAATAAAACTGACACTACATGAGCAAAACTGATACTACTAGCTACACCCCGCGGTTCGATTCCTTGGTCATCCCACAAAATGATTTTGGGATATAAAGTAGCTTATGTGTTCTAGGGTGTCAGCTACCACCAATCTGAATTTTAATAAATTTTGTCCAGCTATTTGAGTGTAAAGAAATACATACAAACACACACACACTCAAAACTTTCGTCTTAATAATATTAGTGTGATGGATTCATAACACGCAAAAAGAACAATAAATACCATTTTATTAAAAAAACAACTTTATGTAAAGAAGTGCCACAAAATTTGGTTTCACCTTTAGTAACACTATCACTCTCCAGTAAAGTACACATTTTGTATTTAGGTACCTACTCACTGTTAGAACTTACTGACATTTAAAAAATAATAATTTTTCTTTTGAATTTTAAGTATATAATGGTCGTTTATATTTGTTAACTATTACTTCATTGAATAGGTATATTTTAAAATACTAATTTTCTTAATAGACAACAATACAATACAAAATAAAAAACAAAATGTATATTATCCTATTTTAACGAGGGAGCAATGAATATCGAAAACTGTGTTAACATTAAAGTTTTAGTTGAAGTAACGTCTTCAATTCTTAAATCAGTTTAATGCAATGTTATCAAGATAATTACATATTTGCGTAAATGGCCTCTTCAGATTGTCACGGTAGGTGCAATGCATTGCTTTCGTATCCTTGAGATACTTACTAATCGATTTAAATATTTGTTTTAAGTCAGAGCTCTACAGGAAAGTATAGGAGGACTAAATTTGCGTTATGCTAAAGTATGTACGTATGGTTGCTCAATTCACGTAATAATATTTTTGAAACTGTTTGGTAATAAACATACGTAAAAATATTTGGTAAATAATATTACAAAATACATTTTATATTCATATTATCTACCAACTATTTAGTGAAAAATCAAATATATTCTAGTAGGTACATACAAACGTTTTAATTTTGATAGGTTACGGCCTACTTACATTATGATAGGTGTATTCTGCTATTAATAAAAATATGGATATTGGATAAATGTAAATACGTACGCACAAAAAAGTTAATACTTACTGGTGTAAAGAATCCCCTTTTAATCCTATCTTTCTATCTATCAATTTAAACTTATCCGCTCTTATTCGAGATTTTCCACTTCACTCCGAAGCAAACAGGAATTTTCGAGTTTTAGACTAACACAACTACGACATTATTCGAGAGCGAGGTGTTTTATACCCAACTGATTTTTATAGTATAAAAATACCAAATTTACTAGAAGTATTTAATTAAGCCGGCAACTCGGTAGTAGTCACTTGACTGACTTGCGAGTACCGAACTACTGACTGGTAATGGGCGGCGGCAGCCACTTTCCACCAGGTAACCCGTCTGCTAGTTTGCGCCCTCTTCTATATAAAAAATGGTTCATCGTAAATAAACAGCCCGTTTACGTCGTGCGTCTCGTAATTTCAGTGTACTTAATAAAAATGTAAGTTGGAATATTGTATTTCAAAAGTGGGTACCTACTATAAAAATATTTTATGTATTTTTTAAATAGACAACGTTTTAATGAACTCGACTTATGGAGAATATTATTTTTATTTTCTAATATCTTTCTCCGTCCATTTTAAGAGGCATATCACACATTGCGGTAGACATTTGGCTAAATTATAAAAATAAAAATCTACCCGTGATTTAACGAATTGACGATATAACTCCATTATTGCACTCATAGGCTCTCTTCGAGTTGTTGGTTTCTCTATCATCTCAATATGTAAAAAAAGAATCATCAAAATCGGTTCACCTAGTCAAAAGTTCTGAACTAACAAACATAAAAATAAATAAATAAAAATACAGTCGAATTGAGAACCTCCTCCTTTTTTTGAAGTCGGTTAAAAATTAGTGTTAGTATGTTCGTATTTTATGCCCGTATGTTATTCCGATCGTCATAAAATTAGGCATACTCATTACCAGGAATACAGCATATGACCAGGAGAGTTCGCTTCATGTAATAGATCTTGTTAGATGATTGTGTTGCAGTCTTGAAGTAATATACCTAAGTCTTCACTTGTTAGAAAGTCTTCAAGTTTCTGTTGAGTTTTATTAAGCTTTTTTGATTAAAACAATTACAAATTAAATTACTGAGCTCGAGACTCTTCTGCGTATAGTTTTGTTTCTTTAGCTTTTATCCTTTAGACCTTACCTTTTATTTTTTAAACTAAACAAACGTTAATTAATATAATTAATATAATTAATTTATAGCTTTACATGGAACCTGCTCAAAATGTCACATTTTAAATCCTGAAAACTGCGCACAAATGTAGGTAACGGATTATAAGGAATGTGCTTTGGTTTAATAACATTGAATTTAATTTAACTTTAATTAACTTTATTTGCTATCGTTCACACAGAATATTTTCTATAATATTTTATGTTTTATTATTTAATATGTTTACTTAGAAGTACCTAGTTGGAATACTATTTAGTACCTGCGAATAATATTTTTGTCTCAAATGGAAATTAGATTCAATGATAATAGCAATAGCTCTCTAGTATTTATATATTTGTTGGCAAATAGTAGTATCTATAATTACGTAGTGAATCATGTAGAACAGTTGTAACAACTTAATGTAAATTAATATCTTATAAAAGCCGATCTCGTATTAGCGGCTGATATTCATTCATTCATTCGTAGTATTTAATAGCTCTACTTATAGAAATCACTACATATACCTACCCATACAGGACAAATATTAGAATTTAAGCATGTGAATTATAAACTGCAGGTGAAATTAAATGCGACAAAGTTGTTAGTTTAGGTTTTAAGATTGTCGTTACCCTTATATCTTGAGAATGCTATCATTAGAATACTGTTGATGTAGACCATGGGTATAGAAATTTCAATGTTCCTTATTGAAAATAAAAAATGTTATGTCGTTTTGTGCACATTGGAAAACTTTAAAACAGCCGTGTAATGTTTTGGTGAAAATTATACCTCCCGAATATTGATTAGGTAGGTAGTATTTAAATCACTTTAGACTGTTTCGAATTAATTACGTTTTTATACCTAAAATGTATGAATGAAGCCTTAAGGCATGTTAAGCGGTGAACATCGCATGACCGTGTCTTGATAATGTATGTTTTATATTTCCCTACTAATTTTTGTAGACGAGCCAAATTCAGGAATTTAATTTATTTTTTCTATTTATTTATAATAATATAATTATTACTGAGGACCTATACTACTAACTTGTTTTAATATTAAATTCCAAAACAAACTTTTTTAATAATCTTAATAAACGTCAAGTACTTAATTATATATTTTTACAAAATTAATATTTCATTTACTGTTTTTCATGATACTTGTATCTACAATACACAACACAAGTTTAGTAACTGAATAAATATATTTTATTTATATTTAAGCATATTTTATTTTGCACCCTTAAAATTTTATTGCATGCCTAAAACTTGAAACTAGACCTATTTAAATTATAAAATGTGAATGATAGTGTACTTTAGAGTCCCGATAGTTTATTCTGTTTATTTGTAGTGTGTGTCGAGTTGTTCAAAATTCTTTATTGTCTGACTTTTTTTAAAGACGTTGATTGAACGATGGTTGTTTATCTTTGCAGGAAGTTTCTTACCCAACAAGATTTCTGCAGAGTTTATACATTTTTTAAACATATTACGGCCACGTTAAAAATGTATAGTGTTTAATGTAAGATGATAATTACGTACGATTTTAACTAATAATACAGGTGTTTTAAATGTATTTATTGAATCTAAATGTATACCTTTTTCTATGGGAC